ACAGCACGCTAGAGCTGAGCAGCAGCTGTCCCTTTAGAAAGGGCACATGCTCTTGACTTTTGCACCACACTTTGACTCCCTGACACAGAAATTAACTGTCAATTGCATTTTGTCACTGAATGGGTACTTTTTATTACAATAGAATTATGAAGAAAGTGAAATTGTTATAATACTGTGTCTATGAAAAGTAACAAAAATGGGGACTAGATAGTGTTGTAGCAGTAAAATACTCAGTGAAATTGACCCCACATGGGAGGATTTAGGGTTCAAGATCAGAGACTTCCCTGAGTATACCATGATCAGGGCAAGCTGGGGCTGAGGGTAGATGGTAGTGTCAGTACCTTATTGGGTGTGTTGTTTGTCTCTTTCTCTTCTCACAGAAGAAGTAAACTTTAAAAAAATAAAAAATAAAACAAAACAAAAAAATGGGGCCAGTAGATGACAAGGAGGTTGGGGCAGGTGGATCCTACATGGCTAACTCTGCAGTTCAAGTCCCAGATCTGGAGGTTTGAAAATCATGCCAGGTGCATGGGCATAGGTGCCCAAAATCTTGAGAGTAGAGTAGAGAAGGGATTGTGGTGTGGCTATCCCCTCTGGGGGAGGGGGGTGATTTCTCACCTTTCCTGTCTCTGTTCAGTAAGTGTGCATGCCCTATAGCAAAAAAAAAAAAAAAAAAAAAAAAAAAAAAAAAAAAAGACACATTTGGAGACAAATGATAGAACCATATTTCTTTGTGGAAAAGAATGTCCAGCCCTTGGTGTGGTGGTTAAGGTGGCTGGAATATATAGCCAATTATTTGTTTTGAGTACTGGACCAGTGTCTTGAGAAACATACCACATGTCTAAGAGTGCCCGAAGTCCCAAAAAGAGAGAGAAGGTGAAGAGAGAGGATTGTGGCATGATCATGCCCCATGAGAAGTGCTTTCTCACTTTCCCTCTTTTTCTCCCAGCAAATGCACATACCCTCTGGCAAAAAACAAAACAAAACAACCCAGGATGCTTTTGTTTAAAAGAGATACCCAATGGTTTTGGTTATTTATATCACCAGCTTGGTCTTCATATGCATTTGAGTTTGTGAACATAAGGGTATGCAGCTGTTACTCTAGAAAACTAGTGTAGAAACAACATACATTTGTAGAAACTTAGTCAACAATTATATAATAAACATAAAAATTTTGCCACTTGTAAGCCCTGAATCAGTTCAACCTGTCTTACTGATTTCCAACACCTAGATTTCCAAATGCTGCTAGAGAAGATCTGTATCACGCCCTGCAAACTGGGACCAGAATCACTCCTACCTCAACTGACCCTTCCCCATCTGTCAGCATGTCGTCTTAGCCCTAGTCCACTCCCTAGCCCATTGCCCTATGTAACTCTCCTAGACATTCCTCAAATATCTATTCACTACTCTTCAACTCATTTTCAGGCAATTTCCTTTTCTTCTGCAAAGAAGAGACATCACTGGACAGTAATCTTCTTGCACATCTGTGCCTTTTTTTTGTTAATAACCTATTTTCTGCCTCAAAGATTTGCCTCTTGAGTCTTGCCCCATGGTCTATTGGTCAAGGGAGCCTGATCTTAGATGGCCAACTACACAGTTTGAGTCCCAGTCTTGGCAGCTTGAAAAACCCACTGCATAATTGTGTGTGTGTGTGTGTGTGTGTGTGCACTCAAAATCCTGACAGGACAGAGAAATGGAGGAGAAAGGATTGCTACATAGTCACCCCATTGGACGGTGCTTGCTTCCTGCTCCCTACGTCAAGCAAGTACATACAACTTATGGTAGTAATAATAATAATGACTTGTCTTTAAGTGTTCCATTCTCCCCTGCTTCCTCAGAATCTTGCTCTTAAGCCATCTCTCCTCATTTCTTCAGCTGTCACTCTCTAGTGGACTTGTTATTTGTTATGTAACTTAAGTCTCTCTCACTTTTTTTTTTTTTCGGAGATGTTTTTGCTATAGGGCGCGTGTGCTCACCAGACAGAGAGACAGAAAGCAAGAAATCACCCCACAGGGGGGAGGGCCATGCCACAATCCCTTCTCCTGCATTCTCCTCTCAGGATCTTGGGCACACAGGCACACACGCCCGGCGTGAGTTTCAAGCCACCAGGTTCGGGACGTGAACCACAGTCAACTACATGGGAGTCCAGTGACATAGCTGCTGGTCCCAGTCTCTCTCACCTTTAAATAAAAACAAACAAAAAAATTCTCTTTCAACCCAATTTTTCACTCTAGCAACTACTTTGAATCTCATCTTCCCTTCACAGTTAAGCAAATTGAACATGTATCTATGGTTAATGTCTTTATTTTTCCACCTCCATTTAATCAGTAGCCCATTCCACTTAGCTTTAGCCCACTTAACACTACTCTCAGTATTCATAACAATAGTGGTTTCTTTTTAAAAAACCAGTGGATTTTTTTTAATCTGACACTGTGCCCACTTCCTTTTAGAAATGTTCTTATTCCCTTAGTTTCCGATGCCACACTCTTTGAATTCCTCTTTCCTTTCTAGTGGCTCATCCTCAGATTGGCTCAGGTCCCAGCCTCTAATTTGTCATTTCCACTGGGCAGCCTCCCTGATCCCAGATGCTCGGTGTCCCTGCTTTCTTGGATGCCCAACATGTCTTTATACCTGACTCTGGAGAGTAGATGTGCCATTTCTTTCTGCCGTCCTCTAGACTATAAGCTCCTTCAAAACAGGAACTTTGCTTCATCTCTGTATCAGCCCTCTAGCCCACATCATCTACAGAGCGTGGCATATAATGTAGACATTAAGGCTTTGTTGAAGCCAATGTTAGCAAATCTAAGATTTGCATGATGACAATATTCTCATTTACATGATTTTAATGACAAATAGCATTTTCCATTAATAACTATAAAGTCTGCTTAGTGATGGTTTAATGCGAAACCTTCTAGTCAAGTATCTTGAATTTCTTGTACAAGTCAAGTTCCTCTATACCAGGAATGTGACCTTGGACAAGTAATTCTCCATGAGCCTTAGTTTCTTTATTATCAAATACAGTTAATTATGATACCTTCTTCTTAAAACTGGTAGTTAAGCATGAAAAGTGTTTGTAAAATCCTCAGGGGAAACCTAACATAATAGTAGGTAGCCACACTTAACATTAGCAATAAATAATAGCAAATGTAGTATATATATCGCTTTACATCAGTTAAGTATCTCCAGTGTTTACCAACTACAGTAAGAGCACCACTGGGTTTCCATGCCTGATCACTAGGAAAACAACCAAAAATCAGCTGTCTTTCTGCCTCTATTTTTGGGAACATTCCTCTCAGTGGAATATTCATTGGCTTACAGAGCCCTTACTGTGGCAAAGTTCTGCTTTAGCCTCGACCCTGAGACCTATTGGCACACACAGAAACATGGTGATACCTCTTGGCAATCTAATTAAAATGTCAGAGCTTCACCATTCCACTGAATAGCCCCAAAAAATGAAACAAGTTGAG